GAGAACTTTCATAAGAGGCAGTGGCAGGCGAGCTGAAGAAGTCAATTTCCAAAACTGTTCAAGTCTGGGTTCCACACAATATGCTGGATCCTTAGGGTCAGGGGACCCGGTACACTCAGAGCGACAGTCTGCACAGCACCTGTGACCCACACATATGCGTGTGCAGGAGCCTGCTTCATGCAGCTGTGCCTGTGCGCACGCGTGTATGTGTAACCTAGCATTTCTAAGCAGACTCATGACAGGTGCTGTGAGGACATTCCGTTCGGGTGAGTAACAAAGTGAAACGTGTTATCTCTCCTAATGATGAATGGCACTGGCTTGGAACAGTCTACGGTTTTCCCCACAGAAACCCTCTCCTATTTGCACTGTAAGAGGTGGACCTTCCAAACATTAAAACTTTACTAAAGTGCTCTGCAAATTTATGCATTTCTTAAGGCATTTCATACCAAATTTTATCCAGAAAAAACTGTAACGCTCTGTAAGAATAAATGTAAAGTGAAAGAAGAAATAAAAACAGTATTACTTGGTTATCATTTGAAATTATATTTTCTTAAAACGTACTTGACAAAATTTAAAACTCAGTGTAAAAGGTGAAGTACTATCTTTCCACCACTCCTTAACCTAGGATCCACTATTTTGTCATTCAGTAAACACTGATTTCTTGATTAGGTGCCTACTTACTGTTCTAGACATATTTAGAATTAAATGACAGGTTTAAGGCCACACAGAACCTTAGTAATAAAGCTATAAAATCTTTAAAAATATCTAGTCAATTCATTCAGATGCTTGTTCTACTATTTTGTTATTTAGTGCAACTTACTTATTCCTTATCAGGCCATTCAAATTTTTTTTTATTTTGCATTTAAAAACAATAATTTTACCCCTCAAATGAACTGTTTTCAGTGAAATTATAACACCAAAAATAGGGCACCATTAAATTAAAGCCAACTTACTTTTAGCTTAACTCTTATTTTATTTTGGCTGTTACCATTTTGTCTGTCTTATATTTACAAGGAGAAAATATGGTTTGAAGAGTTTTAAGGAAGCTCTATCACTGGCTATAAGTGATTAAATTTAAAAAATTATTTCTTCCTAGTAATTTCTGTTGTTTCTAAACTGGACAACTTTCTTTCCATTAATATAATGTTGGAACAGCTGCATTCAGTTCTGTTTTTGGCATAAAGGATGCCGGGACAGCACCAGCTCTAGAATGAATCAAGCACAAGTATCTTCTACTTTGTAATTTGGGGAAATACACTCCTCATTAGCCACCGATCACCTGCAGGTTCCTCCTCCGCAGTCACCACAGCTACGTATGTTACATTTACATTCACAAACTGCTACAGTATGTTTAAATGGTCAGTTTTAATTCAAGATACGGTTTATTCTTCATATAATCTTAATATTACTAAATGTAAAAAAGGAAAAAAAAAGGACAGATCCATGGCAATAGCTAAAACCTCAATCTGCTCATTAGCATTTTCTCTTGCTAAGTGCCTGCCTGAGGTCAAATGAACAGAAGATCCAACTGTCAGGTGAAGGGACGCATTACACCGGATAGGTTTCAGCTCAGGACCTGATGATAACAGTTTTATTAGAATATAAGAGCAGGTATATAATTGGTACATCCCCTATATTTTTAACCACGGGGGAGGGGAGGGGGGTAGGTAACTGAATGAAATTATATTGTGTCTCTTACCTAAAGAATGTGCAGCTGTGGTTTTGGAGCTAAAAAACCGGCCAAGCCCAAGATCTCCAAGTTTGACCACCCCAGTGGCTGTAATGAACACATTAGCTGGTTTTATATCTGTGAATAAATGGGATCAGGTGAAAGATGATGTCAGTTTAGGTGAAATATTCAAGGGTTTAAAAACCACTTTTCATCACAGAATTTAAAACATATCTTAAAAATGGAAGTCAGTTTGAATTTTGAACCAATTATTTTGAGAAATTTTCATATATCCTAATACTTCTGAGTTCTCAGTCCTCTGACAGAAAACCATCCATCAATGCAGGATTTAAAATGCACCTTGCTTTCCACTTTCAAATACACTTCTGTGAAATTCAAAGTATAAAATAAATCTGTGCCTTTCTTATATCAATTTTAAATAAGCTATCTTACTAATTAGTGATTTATTGATATGTTTACATAAAATAGAAAATCTTAACTTCATTATTATTTACTTACCAAAATTATGTTATTATTTACTTAGATGACCTTAGAAATTTTAATTGCTTAAATAAATTTAAGCTGAAGTTTTTCACACCCTAAAAATCAACGGATCAATTCCTTCATGATGTAACCTTCATACATTTTGCCCTACCATTTGACTAATACTCAAGAATATATTAAGAGTGAATGCTGATAATTAAAAATCTAAGTAGCTATAATGTATGCTGTTCATAAAAAAAGAAAACCTCTTCCTTATGTATATTCAACTGCTTCCTGCATCTATTTTTTTTCCTTTACTAACATAGTCAGTAAAAAAAAAAAGTCAAACAGAAAAATAACTAATTCTCATTCTTATTTAAAACCAAGCAGGGCTTCACTTAAAAGCTTATCATTCTAGTAAAATTACAATTTGGAAATACATTACTTAGGAAAGCACAGTAATATGCAGTGACTGGAAGGCATTTACTCTCAGACGGCCTGGTAACGTGTGTTGTTTAGAACCGCGCTAAGTGGCCCGTGGCTTACTGACTCACCTCGGTGCATGACCCGCCGAGAATGCATGTGCTCCGGCGCACTGCAGAGCTGGACAAAGTACTTCCAAACGGTTCTTTCAGGAATTAGCCTCTTTTGTTTCTTAAAATGCTGTTCGATAAATTAAAAATAAGATTTAAAAAACCTAAAATACCTTCACACTAGATTCTGATGTGCAAAAGCCTTAAATCAGAAAAACACCTACTTTTATCTACCTGCCC